TTCAGAGTCGTTCAATAAATAATTTTCAGATTCTTTTTGTCCATGTGGACTAACAAAAAAACAAAAAAAACTCATCAACAAAGAGTTATAAGGTGTGAAATCAAACCAACCAACTCCAAGATGAATCAAGACTTAAGCACTTTCAAGTGGGAGTTAACTATTCATCTAGGCACTGAAAATAATTTGATTCACATTGTTTTATAGTGATTAATAATAAAATAAAATTAATAGAAAAAAATGTGTGTATATATTAGGGGTTGAACGACTTCTGATTTTTTAAAGTCGACTTTTATGTGATGAAAGTCGAGTCGAAGTCGACTAGTCGCTGATGACGGAATCTCGACGCAGCGTCTCGTTCCCTCGGGGAACCATGGTTACATACGTAACCTAGAGACGTTTTTTTATAGACATTTATTTCCCTGCGTTGACATTATGTGCTGCATTATTTTGCACATTGAGCCCTCCTGTGGCCTCAGGAGACAAGACATACGTTTCCTTAAGACCTATTTAATCTGCATATAAAACATTAGAAATTAGATATTTGTTTAATTTTTATTGTGTGTTTGACTGTTAAAACAAAAAATATTTGTTGTTTGTCTCAATAAATTGGGTTAATTTAAAAATGCAGTGGTTAAATAAAAAAAAAAAATTTCTATTGCTCTTTATTTTAAAAAAGGTTATAAAAATGTCAATAATTATCGATACCGAACGATATGAAACATTATATCGTTGATACACATGAAACATCACCAGGCTGTTGGCGCCCTCTGCAGGTATTTGTTATAATATAGGCATATTACATTATGTATTTAACAGTGTTGTTCAATAAAACCATGTACTTGGTTTTGATACTTTATTTGAGGCCAATTATATCAAAATATCAGATTACTCACTTGTCAAAATAATCAGTAGATTACTCGATTAGCATAATAATTATTAGTTAAGCCCTAGATTAGTTAAAACATTTCAAAATACAACTGCATTGTTTTACTTTTTGTGATTAAAAGACAAATATTTTGTCATTTGAAAATGTAAAGTATTAAAACATTGTCTCGTTCTAGTGAACCACGTATCTGCATTTTGTCTCACCTTGTGAGCTAAGTGTATTGTCACACCCCTAGTGTCTATGAGCGTGATAAAGCTCATAATTTTCCAAGTGTATGATATAGCTTTCATTCTTCAGGTCAATCATATATTCATGAAAAAAATC